TTTTTTATTTGATTTTCTTTCCTTTCTTCTATTGATTTGTGTACTATTAATATTTGATTTTATCTTAGGCAAGTTTTACTCTTTTATAGCCAAATTAAACTCATTGTTTTCTTACTTCAACTTTTCTCGTTTAAAAACATTAATATTTATTCAACTTTTTTATTTGATTTTCTTTCCTGATTTGCCTAATTTAAATGTACTCACACTTTAAATTTAAACAATTAATTAAATATTAATTGTATATAAATATCTTTTTCAATATTAATATATTTAAATTTTATAAATGGATTCACTTTAACTAATTTTCTAGCTACGTCACTAAATGTGATGAGATTAAGTGATCAACTAGGGGTGGGCAACCGGTTCGGTAAACCCGAACTGAAACCGAAACCAAATTAATGCTATTCGGTTCGAAATTTGGAAAGAAAATATGGATAGATCGGAAATCAGGGTTCTTTCAACCGAACCAAATTTTCGACCAAAAAATCGAAAACTATAATTGCAAGCTCCAAATGGTGGATTTTTATGTTTGTAGTTTTTTTTAGACTAAAATATTTGAAATGTTTTATGACTTATGTGTTGAAAAGTTTGATTTTATCATTGATGATGCATATAATTGCATACTTATTGTTTAAATTAGGGGTGAAAAATAATTTAAAAGTGAAAAGATACAAGTAGCTTCACAAATTCGGTTTTGTGTGAAAAATCAAACCGAACCAAATTATAATTCCCTTTAAACCAACCAAACCAAATTATAATTCGGTTCGAATTCGGTTTGAGATTTGGGAAAATTCAGAGATCCGATATTCATAATTTCGGTTCGGTCGAAACCAAACCAACCGAAAGCCATTTCATCCCGCTAAACAAAAACATCTGCATAACCGCACACTTGTTAAATTGTAACAAATTGGTAGAGTAGAGATAATGTGATACCAGAGATAAAATCAAATTCAGAGTTTAAAAGGAAAATAGTATCTTCAACAACTCTAATTATTGAGGTTTGGGTCAATCAAAGCAAAGCAACAAAATTTTAGGTTTAGGCCAAGCTTGAGTTTTTGGGCTCCTCTTTCCATCGATAGTGGATTAATAATCTTCTGAAAGGCCATTCAATTATATGGAACCCACGCTAAGTGCTACTCATGTTCTATAATTTATTTTTTTCCCGATGGTTAGAGTTGTTAACAAGATCATTCTACCAAAAACATAAAAAGAGATGTGAAATCCTAGATAATGATTTTTAACAATAAGATACAGAATCAGAGTACGATATCTCTATTATTATATAAATTACCAATTATTTATACTTTGGACACAGAACATTGAAAAATAGATAACATGCAGGCTGAAAGACAATTAGGAGCCACTTGGCAAGTTCTGCGGCCGGACAGATGAGCCAAGATCTTCATAAAATAAAATAAAATACCGTATTTGAATTTGTATTTGTGCAATTATTTTCTTCATTTTGTTCCAAAGCAAAGCTACTGGGTAGTCAGGTAGTGGGAATGGGTTACCGTGGATACTAATTTTTTAGTAACCACCGTGGCAACTTATATCTAAACCTTTCATTAGCTCTATTTTTCTCTTTTTTAAAATGACGGTTAAGTTTATATTAAGGGTAATTTTGGAATCAAAATATTACCACACAAGATAAATACCTATATTTATAACTTACCATTTCCTTCCTCTCCCCTAACCCTACGCCCACTCCCTAATCGAGATTCCTTCCCCCCTCTCTCCCTCCTTCTATTCTTCTTCTTCCATAGGGGACCCTTCCCACAGCTATTGATCTGAGGTAAACCCCGATCTCTCTCTCTACTTCTTCTACAACTCTCGATCAATATGGCTTTTTTTATCGGGAGAATTGGACTAGAGAACATATGGCTATTTTTTTATTGGTATATATTTTTTTCATATTCGTAGTGATTTTTTCGTAGTGGTAGAGTTTTTCGCATTGGTATTGTTTTTGTCGCATTGGTATTGTTTTTTCGCAATGGTAGTGTTTTTTTCCTCATATTGGTAGTGATTTTTTTCTATAGTCCTTGTATTGGTAGTTTTCGTAAATTGAGTGGTATAGATTGTTTATATTGGTAGTTTTCGTGTAATGGTATAGATTTATTTATGCAATGGTAATTTTCGTGTAATGGTATAGATTTATTTCTGCAATGGTATTGATGTTTTTCAAAGTGGTAGGGTTTGTCTAATGGATTGGTACTGATTTCGTTTTTTTTTTTTTTTTTTTGCAGAAAGATTGAGAAAAATATGGAAAAGAAATCTGGCTGGAGATCACGCAAGTGAGAGAAAGAGAGAATTTTAATTAATAGATTTTTGTAACTACCTAAAATATAATTTATTAAAAAATTAATTAATATAATTTATTTTTTCCATACCCAATTTACCCTTAGTAACCACGGTGATTACTACAAAGTAGTAATCACCGTAACCTGTCCCTCAGGTAGTGGGTTACCGATATGTTGATGTGACTTGAATTGGACTATCAGCCGCTACGACTGGTAGTCGGGGGTTTCGCTGCCCGGTCAGCGAGTGAGGTCCAGGGGCAACGCCCCCGGCCCACGGTGTATGGGCTCAATGTTGTAAGGGTTCGGGTTCTGGGCCTGGTCTGTAACCGTTTCCTTTGCCAGATTGGATTAGTTTTAGACCCATATGGAGAAGCACTATAAATACTTCTCATACTCCTCTGTAATCTGTAATCTCCTCGATATAGTGAAACTGACTCTCTCTCGCCCGTGGACTAGCTAACACACATCGTGTTAGTGAACCACGTAAATCATGTGTCTGTGTTTTTCGATTCTCGCTTTCGTATTCTTGCTTTATCGATTCCGACAATTTCCCGATTCGTAGCAGTGCGTCTATAACACGATACAGTCTGGGTCGTGAAATCAACACTTTTTTTTTTGGGTTCAAGATGTTTAATAGCTGCATAGCATAAGTTGTTGTCATTCTAGAGTGTTAATTTTGAATTATTCTGGTTTATCGACTATATACTTATAATTTTCGGTCACTATTCTTACGTTATATGTTTTACAGGAAATCATGCTCCATAACCCTAGGGTGACGATGTATCGACGTCTGAAACTCTATGGGCAACATACACTTATCGTTTTGTCATTCATTACTATGTGCTGCGGAACATCAGACACGATAGGTTTTGTGTTACTAGAGGATTCCCCTACACAAGGATGCTCAATTATGCATGACATCCATATGGAAAAGTGTGCTCCAAAATTTTGTCGATCAGGCGAGACAGCAGGCTACACAGAGATCATATGCGAAGAGTCTCATAGCATCAATTGCCCTTTTTTTTCATGGAACTCATGGCGAGCACAACACTTTTTTATTGTGATGTTAACTTATCGAATATCCAATCATCTCATGGCCAGAAACACCTTTTTTTTAGATGAAAATGCATTTAAAGTTGTTTGTCATGTAATAAAAAAAAATTCGCTACGTGTGCACAGAATCTTGTATTCAAACACCTTGACATTTGATATTCAACCACCCTCCAATAGATGTAATGTCTCGGTCGTAATATCTAGACATTTATGAACTCAAGTGACATACTTGTTCTTCAACTGATAAAACTTCTTTTAACGATTCTTTACACGCCGAAACACAATAGAAGGAGATTCGCCAATGGACGTATCCCCTTGCGCTGGAAACAAACAGGTTCTATGAACCAAATCCCCATATCCATTTCCAATTTGATTATGGATCTCCCCAAACCATCCAAACATAGACCCAAAAAAACAATTCGATTAATTCCTTCCCTCCCAAGTCATTTCCAGATTCATGCCACATTCCCAAATCAACTGAAATTCAATGCAATACAAAACTAAGCAAAAGGAGTCAACTTCTCTCATAAACGTACGAAGTGGGAAAGCATTACTGAATTGAATGAATTTGGGTACTTCTATTTCCAGACATTTGGAGACACCTCCTCATCCCCGCAATTTTTTTTACCCATTAAATAATTTCTCTGAACCAAAACACCGTTTTCTTCCCTTCTTCCCCTTTGCCATCAAAGCAACACGTTCTTCTGCTCCCTCACACCCTTTCCTTCACAATTTCAACTCTGTTATAAATACCCATCGCCCCTTTTCCTTCCTCAATCATAACCCAATTCGCTCTTTCGGTTTTCCTTCTCTTTTGCGAAACGGAATCCAACCCATTAGTCCGAAAGGCCCAAATTTCTTTTAGCGCCATGGATGTTCTGTGCGACACAGAGGGCCGGAGGGTTAGTGTTGGTGGTGCGATTTACGGCGATGGTGATGATCATCAGCTTGAAGACGACGACTTCTACGCGGAGCTTGTAAGGCAGGTCCTGATTTTGACGGCCGATGACGACGATTCCGCCGCGAGTACTCCTCGCCGCCGGGACAATGTTGGGTACTTCGATTCGATGGCACAGCCTGCTGCTGCAACTGGACGCTTATTCTCTAGCAGTTCCTATTCTCTACCAAATTGGCCGGCGGTGAACGCGTCGAGGAACGGTGGCGGCGGCTTCGGTGGCACTGGTGTTTTCATCCCTCTAACCGCCGCGAAATCCAGGAGAAGGAACGGGAATGGTAATCATGGTAAGTGGGTGTTTTTTTTTTTTACCTCTGTGGTACTCTGCCAAAAGGGTTTAGGGTTTTCAATGTTCGTGGTTTTGGTTTCGCGTTTGGTGCTCAATTGGGTGCTTGTTCGTTGCGCGATTTGCAGGCAGACGAGGCGGTAGCAGTCACAAGCAACAAGCAGAGAAGAAGATGGTGCAGAACAAGCACTGACGATTCATCCAACAAGCAGATTTTCTGGTTTACAAATCTTAGTAGGAGACGTAGTAGTCGAACACATGAAGCAAGATGGGTAAAAACCCTTATCTTGTAAGGTCACTAATATATGCGAAGATTTTGTTTGGTTTCAGATGTTAGTTTCCATTGAATTGCTCTGAAACTGCAGGCAACCATGAACATCGGTTGCTTTTTTGTTCGTAACACCAATCCATCTCAATAACAAGAGCGTCAATTTCGTCCGTAAATTAGTGTAAATTGTCATTCAACCTACACTACATTAGTGCATTATAAGTGTTCGGCCTGCAAATTCTACAGTAATCTTCTCTTGTACTAAACATATCCAGACAACTGGAGAAATGACAACAGAAACAAAATCTGAGAGGAATCCAAAAACCAGTTGTCCCATCATTTCCCCCCACACACCAAAACGTTCTTTTTTTTATGAACCTATCAATCTCTTGGTCGTGCCATCCATAGAGAACTCAGTGCTCTTAACCGAGAGGTGTAGTCGCTGATGACGAGCAAGGCGCGAGCAGCCTGCCGAGTCGTCAGGATTCGATGCAGCTGCTGCAGAGTCTGCTGCCGCAGAAGATCAGCCTGGTGAAGGAAATTCTCCAGCGTGGCGAGCTTGCCCATAGCAATGGCCATCTGGCCCATGTAATCCGCCACATTACCAGTGCCTGCTGGTCGCAGGGACGATGAAGAGAGCGTGTCGACAAGGGATTGCTGCAAGGCTTCCATCCCTTGCGACAAAGCATCTTCGGCCTGCTGAGATGATTGCTGCAGATTGCATATCCCCACTAGCTGCTGATCCGTCAACGGCTCCAGCTGGTTCCCTAGTATCTGGGATTTTTTCCACATCAGGAAGAAAATGTTTTTGAGTAAGAGAAGAGCTAATTTTGATCCTATTCCGGTTTTTGGGTTGATACCAGTGGAAGGTTACCTTGAGTAGTTCAGAAGAGCGGAATCCACCCAACCACATGAAGCACCTCTCGGCCGGAGTCTTCCACATGCCGGAGAGCATGTGGAAAACATCGGCCTTGGCCGCGATGCTCTTCAGCCTGAATATCTCGTCGTAGTGATCCATGACGCCGTCGACTAGAATGCGGAGCTCGTTGTCGCCCATCTGGGAGTTCACGGCGGTTCTCAACTCGTTGATCAGCCTCTGATGCTCGTCGATCCATCGTGCGTATTCCATGTCGAATGCCATCGCACCACCGCCTCCATTTCCTGATACTGAGTGGCCATGGTAGTCCACCGATGCACCTGTGGAGGCGGCGAAAATTCCCTGTTGGCGCGCACGTTGTAGTTCTTGTTCGAGTTGGGTAAGCCTTAAGCGACTGTTCTCAAGCTGCTGGACATAAGCCTAACCCAAAACCAAAAACTTATGATTCAGTCGAAATGTGTTCATTCATTCATCTACATTGTAATTTTTGCAAAAACAGATTGGTACCTTCTTCCTCAGGCGACTCTTTCTGGCTGCTTCCCGGTTCTGAGCCAACCTTCGAAGACTCTGCTGCACAAGGGAAGAAAGCAAGCAGCAGTAAGGGAAAAAGGGCTATCAAATTGACACTTGAGAAAATGAACAAATTGACAGCTCAAGAAAAGTAGAAACCTTTTGGTCATCGATTTTGCCCTTGGATTGATCCATGGAATCAACCACCAAAATTGAGCCATGTTGGCCACCATCACCAATCTGCTGCTGCTGCTGCAACCAGAAAAAGGAAGCAACCAGAAAAAACTTGCCTTTTCATCAACCCATCTCAGAACAATTAACAAATCCCCTTTGTTTTTTTTTTTCATGAATTACTGATAATTAGCTACTAAAAAGCAAGAGTACTGGAAACGGATTAGGATCACAACACAAAGCACAAAAAGAAGGACAAAAGGTGACACTGTACTGTCTCCCTCTTTTTTTCCTTTCGGAAAAAACAATACAGATATCCATATGGAACAAAATCCACAAGGAAATACAAAAAACAGAGCACATTGTACAGTGAGAGCAGTAGGGGGGAATTACGGGGGAAGGCAGCTGATTCCTCAATTCTGAAACAGACCCACCACCACCACCACAGATTCGGAGCAGAAAGATTCTCACTTCTCCTCTCCCCCAAGCTTTAACCAATGGGGAAAACAGAGCATATGTGCAGAGAAAGAGACAAATTCCTAAGAAACCCAAGAACTGACCTGGTGGTGAAATTGGTTTCTTTCATCAGTATCGACATCTGTGGAAGTGTCAGTAGTCTGCTGGCTCGTATCTCCTCCTCCTCCTCCTGCACCCATCCCAGTCGAGGTTGAAATTGAATCCCCCCACTTCTCGAGATTACCACCACACCTACTACTGTTGTTGCTATTGTTGTTGTTATTCTGCTGCTCGTTCCCCAACAATGTCGCTCTCCCGTACAGGTATTGCCCTGTGTCCAAACACCCTGCCGCTGCAACCTCTCCGATCCCAGTCTACACCATCAACGCGAAACAAAAGCCAGAGACTTCGTAAACAAATGGTAATGTCAAAGGGACTTGTTCTGAATTCTGATGTTGCTACCGTAATCAATGGCGAAGCGAAATGTAAACTGCTGTTGCTTCCATGGGCGAGGGCGACATTGTTTCCTGATTTTGTACTGAACATGGAGCCTACACAAACCACCACCAAACCCATGTTTTTAAAGGAAAGACAATTAACAACCCATGACTTTTACAACACGAAAAAAAGGCTCGGTGATAGACTTACTTGGGCTTAAATCAACAGCATGGTGGTGTTGGAAAGCAGAAGGAGGTGGGGGGAGAGAGTGGGTTGTTGTTGGTTGGGGATGATCAAGCTCCCCAAGGTCACCAAACCGGGTTTGGCTTCTACAGTCTTCATCTTCTTCTCCTCCTCCTCCTCCTCTGTTTTTCGTGGTGGGGAAGGTGGGAAAAAAACAGAGCAAGTCAACTATTTATGCAGGGACTAAAATAAACTCAGCCAATGATGGCTTTCAGAGAAAAAAAGACGAGGGAAAGGGGTTACCGGAAAAAGTAAGGAGGTGGCGGAACAGGGGAGTTGCAGTACATTTCAGAGGTATGGAAAACAGTAGAAGGAATGGTATCGTGATGATGGTGATGATAATGATGGTGGGATGATGACGCTGTAGCCCTGAAGCTTTGCATCTTCAGAGTAGCGGAAAAAAGGAACAGAAAACAGAGCAGGGGTGCTCTGTTTTTGTGTTTCTGTGTTTGTGATGTAATAAAGATGCTTTTTTTCGCTCTGTTTCTCAGAGTAAAAGAAAGAACCAAAACACGAAAGTGAAGTGAAGTGAAGATTTCGGTTTTCTGAACCAGCAATCAGAGGTAAGAAGATACGAGAAGAAATGGGGCTATGGGCTATGGTGGGATGGGAGACTTCACTGTTGAAGAGCTCGAGGAAGATTAGTAGGTGAGAGAGATATCAAGCAAACAATAAATGAGCAAGTGAAGCATGGATAAATGCTTCTGGTGTTGTGATGGGTTGCTTGCTGCTGAGACGTTTGCTTTGATTGCAGTTGCAGAGAAGAGGAAAGAAGAAGGGCAGAGTGTAGAAGGAAAAAAGGGAAAGAGAAGTGAAGTTGCAGTAGTAGGGGTTGGTTCAGGGTTGATAGAGGGAGGGAAAGGGAAAATCTTTTGGTATGATCTTAGCTTAGTAAAGAAAGAAAGGAGATCGTATCAGTACTGCTTCTTTTTATGTGACAGCAGGAAGAAGAAGAAGAAGAAAAGTGAAACTCTGAATGAAAAATTGAAATGGGTTTTGAGAAAATTCTATGATAGGATATTAGGATAGGGAGAGCCCTGCCTTCTTTTTTCTCCCTTGCTGAGTTCTTCTGCCATATGAGATTTTAGTTTCCCGATATACACTCTCCTTTTTTTTTTTTACAAAGAGATCTTGGATTGCGCTTCGAATGATCGGTTACAAAGAGGGATTTAAAAACCCTGGATCCAAAACAAGATCAAGACAGCACTGAAACACAAGATGAAATCAAACCATGCCTGGAAAATACAGCAGGAGAAAGCAAGGCACAAAATGAAAACACACATCAAATGCCTATCGCTTGAACCAAACCCAACACAATCATAATCCCTCTAGTATCCAATCAAACCAAGTAGCAAACAGATCAGCATCAGCTTGTCCGCTCACAACGAAATCCATGGCAAAGAACACAGCAATGCCAAAAGCCGACTCCTGGGGGTTGTTCGAAGACACCCAACACAGTGAATCTCGAAGCGAGATTGCATGACGGTGGAAAAGGTTGTGAAGCAGATAGCTCCAAGCTGAAAGGGCAGGGGAAGTCGAAGCAGAGCAGTCGGGTTCGAAGGAGCGTAGAAAAGCCAGAAAAGGCCACCCACTCCAAGGAGACACCAAGCCACCACAGCAAACGGCCGGAGAGGACCCTACTCTCAACAATCCGACGAACAGCTAGGCAGAGCAAGCAACCAGGAGAGGTCAGATGGGAGAGCAGCGAATGGCTTCACCAAAGCCGGTGAGACCACCAGATTGGTACAATCAACCACCACCAAGAGAGCAATGAGACATCCAATCTGCAACCTCCAGATCCCAAAAGAGAGCAAGCCCAGAACAAGACCGAAGAGCAAAAGCTCAACTGGAGAGGAAACTGGAACGCCACATCGGCTGGAGAAGACGATTGAAAACTGAGAAAAGCGGAAAAAACACTGCCGAAAGACAAGGGCAAGCAAGGAAGGCAAGAAAACGAAAAATGGGAAGCATGAGCTGCCGCCGGTCACCAAAAGGAGCCGGCGGCAGCCCCTGGAAAGCAGAGGTTAGGAGCTGGAGTAGAGAGAAGGGAGAGCAGATATTTTGAATTAAAGTAAGAGAGAGGAAGTCATCCTGTGAGTTGTATTGTAGAGAGAGAGGGGATATACACTCTCCTTGTTAGTTATTACTTTCCCAACCAAACATAAATTTGACCCTCTCCACTTTAGAGGGAAGATCAAGTATGGAAATCTACAGGTGTTGTAGACTTTTCACGAGAGTTTATATGCGACAAATAGTAAATATTTGGGCGGTAAATAACAACTTTCTTTTGTATTTGTCACGAAAAATGGTGAAATGTGTTGAAGAGTTGCATCCACTTGTCTTCTGATATTAAGATTCAATCCAACTATAAACCAATGAGTTGAAGATTTCAAGAGTTGTCGATAGCGAGATTAACACAAGTTTCTTTTTCTTTAATGACAAGATCACGATAATGATTGGTAGTATTCGCATCCTCTCTCCTTATGAATCGAAATTAATTTTCGTATACTTTCTCTCATTACAACCAATGATTCACAGTTTGACCGAATATGAAAATCAAGTGACAAGTCGACGCGGCTCTTCAATGTGACTTATATATTCTCCTAACAAGTCGTTTGGATGCATCATTTTGGTTTTGTAGTATTTTGAATCAAAATATTGCATTGTTTTGGTATGTGGTATTTCAGTTTGGAATGTGACAATTGAGTCTTATTGTCTTGTTTGGATCGAACATTCACATGCAGTGATATTGATATTTCACCGATAAAAGAAGAGAGGAGTGTGTTGATTGAAATGTACAGGGGAGATGAGGTATTCCAATTGACTAATTGTGCATCATTTTAATTGTTGGTGGCCCCAAAATACCACAACCCAATTTTTGTTTGCCAAATGAGTTCTGTCAACCCAAATAACAGAGAATGAGTTATTTCCGTTAAAATAACTCATTCAAAATGTTGTTTTCAAACAACTTGTGTTGAAATGGGTGGGATATGTCATATGTGGGATGCGCCGCCAAAATCTCTAGTTCTTCTGCATCATCGGACACAACGAGGGCAGCGGAGAGAGAGCGAAGATGGGGCTAAAAGGAAGAAAATGACAGAGGTGGGAAGACGAGGAGATGATAACGGGAAGACGAAAAGAAGGATTTTCTTATCCTTTTTTCTTTATTATCCATGTGTATTGGTTGAGACAAAATATCGTCAACTCGGCTCATTTCATCAATCCAGTCATACTGTTAATTGACATCGTTAAAGTATTGACAGAATTTTATGTATTTCGATAATTGTTGCTATATTTGTCACAAACGAGAAAGTTGGGGTTAATTGCATGGTTGGTCACTGTGATTACAAAAAACGTTCATGTTTGGTCACTCAAAATATTTAAATATATTCGTGGTCACTAAAATTAGTAAAATCGTCCAAATTTGGTCACTCTCCATTAGTCTCCGTCCGTTTCCGTCAACCAAGACTGTTATGTGCTGACGTGGCAGACAGAATCGCATAGTAAGTCTAATTTAACCAAAAAATAGTGAAATATGACCCGCCATGTCACTATAACCGGCCATATCATTTTGTCTATCACAACCCAACCCTTGAACCGACCTACCTACCCATGAACCGACTACTCAAACAAAATAAGAGTTTATCCCTTTTTTCTTTCCATATCTGAACTCTAGTTCCTCATTTTTCTTGCATTACCTTCGACAACCAGGTATGAATGGAGCTTGAATGGGTCGCCACAACAATCGCACCCCCCAGCTTTTATCTCTCTCACCTGCTCCTCCTCCGCCGCTCCGCTACGGATTCCTGCTGTTTGTTAATGACTGCGCCAGCCAGCCCACTAGCCAGGAAGTTGTGCTTCACTGCTCACTCAGCTGCCGTGTTGAATCGAGCTCAAATCCCTACTTCCAGTTTTTGAAACCTATTTGTCGCCTCACGCCAATTGAGAAACAAAGAAAGAGAAAGCCTTCCTCTTTTTGCTCCCCTCTCTTTCTTTATTTCCTCCTTTTGCTACTCTCCACCTCGGTCGCCGATCTGGATCTAGGCAAGAAGACGGTGGTGGTGGGAAATAAAGGAAAGATGGAGGGGAGATGGGACCCAAGCAAGAAGACGGTGGTGGCGGTGTTGATCTGTCTGTCTACCTGCCATAGCGCACCACCGACGGTGAGCGGCGGGGGTGATCTAGCTGGCTTCCAATGTGTCGTGATCGTAGTAATAACACAGGGAGTGTTCGATTCTGGATTGGATTTTTCAATTTTGATTTCGATTGATAGCTACTGCTGCCAACTAGGGTTTCGCTATCTAGAGAGGGAAAGCAAACCGCGTATGAAGAGAGAGAGGGAAGATTCGTGCAGACAAGAAACAAAACAGAGAGAGAGAATTTCTTTAATAAAAAAAATCAGGTTAATTTGCCTGAAACGTTAAGAAGAGAGGGTCGGTTTGGTTGTTGAACTGGGTTGGGTTAGGTTATATAGTATTATGACGTGGCGGCGCGGATCATATGATGTGGCAGGTTAAACTAGGTGACCAGACATGTCTGTTAGCCACGTCAGCAGAAAATTGACGACGTTAACGGAGACGGATGGAGACTGACGGAGAGTGACTAAATTTGGACGGTTTTACTAATTTTAGTGACCACGAATGAATTTAAATATTTCGAGTGACCAAACATGAACTTTTTTGTAATCACGGTAACCAACCATACAATTAACCCGAGAAAGTTGTCTCTATGGAAGTGTATTACACATTATTTTAACGGTGAATTGATTTTATATTTTTATTATTGTAAAGTACGAATAAAATTAATTCCCAGATACATAAAGACCAGTAATGTCTTAATATAAAACCTGCAGCCATGACAAAAGTAAAAACCGAACATTGAAACATGCGTCTTCCTCTTCTCCCAGGGATGATGTGATCGTGACGAGATGTTGAGAGATGATCGTAAATAAAACAAATAGTGCACTGCATTCCTTGGAGATACAACAAGAAAGCGACAACCTCATTTAACTAATTATTTAATAATTTATTTCCCCCTAATTCCCCGTTTTGGACATTACCCGCGAGTCCGAGTTTCGTAAAAGAAAGATCAATTTGAACTTCTATGATTGGCTACCTCGGTATATTTGTTACTTTTTATCATATCAGTACACGAATTCATATTTTTGGTCATACGGGTTACATTGATTTTCACACGATGAAACACTGGAAGTGGAAAACCCACTTGGTGTGTTGATTGAAACCTGATCACCCCAACCCACTTCCACAAAGACGGGGATGATCAAGTGTTGTTATCAAAGAGATACAGATTCTTCATTCTTGTATGTTAACATCAAACCTATTCTGGGTCAATGCTTCCCGCCCTCGAGCACTTCTGTGTCGAAGGCGCTGGTGCAACGCTTCGGACAACTGGCTGAAGAATTCTGCATCCCATTCCCATCTGTGGATTAACAATGGGTCTTCTGCGTAACATATGTACATCGACGTAACGGCGCTCTCAACCACCACCATTGCAACTCCAACCTGTCCAGTAAGCCACCCACTCTCAGTTTTCACTCAAACATGACCTGGCTTCATACAGACACACTCATTTGATGGAGAGAGTACTAGCAGACCAACATAATAAACAATGAAAGAGGGAGCTCATTGACCATCTGAAGTGTTAGCCATTGGTTGTAATTGCGATTCTACATTGGAATTCTGGTCCTTTTTTTTTTTTTTTTTGGCTACAACGACTATGGGATTCTTGGACTCGAGATCTTCAATCCCTTGATGTGTAGAATCTCTAGTTTCAAAGCCAAGGATTCGCCAAATTTCAATTATTCAAAATCCCAACTTCCAGATGATATCCCTTAGATTTATCTGTCTACTTCTACAAAGAAACAGTGCTTACTCACCCTCTAGCAGTGCATGACTAAGCCTTACAACTTACAAGACGAGCTAAACGAGAGCATGAAAGTTGCTAGAAGCCTAGAACTTCCAACTAATGATCAAATTTTTAGAAAGTGATTAGTCATGCACGTAGAAGAGATTCTCGCTTGAAAAAGTAAAGAACGGCAAAAAGAACTTACCAAGACCATCCCCATCAACATTGCAGTGGATCCCACCATGAGTATTCTCTCATTCTTGGCTTCCCACTTGATATGAGTCCATATTGCCGCGCAAGTCCCTGTGATAAGCCCACCTAATAGTGTTCCCATCAAAAGATCAGCACCTGAACAATCATATGCAACCAGTGATTCAACTCCAGTTGACTGAAATAGCTCCCACGCATCCCTTGCTGACCGATTAAACCCTTTCCCATATACAGCTATCTGAAGGGCAACACAGTATACAACAATCTGAATAACTGCTCAATTTGTGAACCGTTTTTTATGCTTGGCCATATCAAGTACGTCTGCCTACAGGGAACATGATCTCAGATTTCAGAAGTTACAGAGTTTTTGCTGCAAGTTACATGGACATAGGCATACTTGTTGAAGAAACGGACAAGAGTCTCCACAAGATGAAACATAAGATCAACACAGCAAAGCAAGTACTCATTCTTGCCTATCTTTGACCTCAACCCTCTGATCTATATGCAACGATCATCGAAACAAAATTTTTATGAATGAAACATAATGAATGCACACTCAAAAGCAGGGGGGAAAAAAATACTTGGAGAAAAAGATAGTTTTTAATTTTTCATGGTGCCTACCTCCCAACGCAATGTCCGAATTGCAGCAGTGAATAGTGAACCATAGCAAATGCTGCCAAAGGAGGTTGTGAGAGTGTATCTTATAACCTTCATCAAGGAGTTGGCAGGCATTGATGCAGCTTCTCGGCCACCGTGGATGAGAACAAGGAACACCATTCCAGAAACTATAACATGTACCATATCACATATCACTGCACCCGTCCAAAACAAGCTTATTGCCAAAACCTGAATATTATCATTGAAAGGCATACAGAAAAGTCAATATATGCTGTAAAGAGAGAACTTGCCGGCTCACCAAAAGAAGCCACCAGCCACCGCCATCTGGCAAGTTCAAAGCCAGCACTCCAGCAACCCCAAAAGACCATAATCCCATCCATAAAAGCACTACTAGCATGAATGCATATGCAACTCTAATGACTTCAGGAAGACTCCCCACCATCTTCACTGACTTTTGCAGAACCAGCATGGTAAAAGGAAGTCTGTTCATAGCAGCACGTTATTAGACATATTCGTGTAACATGATTTGCACCTTTTCTACGAATGTAAACCATTACTAAACACATGGCATAACAATGCTCAATAGGGAAGAAACTCTCAGAGAACAGCACAAACAACAGAGATGAGAAAGGGAAAGCACATAGGTTACATTCTTTAAGACTAAACATCACAGTGCAAATGATTGATGTTGGCTCTCAGGTCATTTTGTAGTTCTCGACGAAGACATCGTAATCATAGTTTCCTACAACAACTTAACAAACCTCAATTTAGTACTCATTGCTTCATGATCTCAAGAAGAAGAGAAAAAATTAAAGACAAGTGACCTCAAAATATTTGTAAAGTTGCTAGGTTCAAGTGCAACATGATACATGAAGATGCTATAATGAATACACAACAGAAGGTCGCAATGAGAACCTTCGTATGGAGGCACAATAATCATTGTGATTTCCTGTCTCACAATTCAAACCATCATCTTGACCAACCTTAGGGATTCAAAATCTATCACTGTATAGCCAGTTAAACTTACGAAAACGGAAAACATAAGTTTTAAAAAATGCTGACCTGTCTATAACAGAAATAACATACAAAAACTGCAATCCAGCTCCAATAGCAAAGGTCACACCCCAGAAAACTGCTCAGACCAGAAACACAGGACACTAATCACGGCAAGATAAGTGGTCAAGATATGAACAGCGATGTTCATCATCTGATTGGCAAAAGAACCAAGCATCAACAACCAAGCCCAACCAAGTAGAGTCCCAATTCCGCCAGCCAGAGCATAAATGGGCCAGTAATCCTCAGTGTAACCCCACCCATGACGGCCATCGCCACGATACATATAGAGATGAAACCTATTCTTCCCCCGGAACCTATTGAAGCCCAACATAGCAAGAGCAAACCCTATTCCTACGAGATGAACTGTAAAGATCCCTGACCAGAAAACATCGTGCCATTTCCGTGGTACGTCGATCGCCAGTGCTTGCGCTCCATCCCCGTCGAGACTCCTCTCCACCATCTACATAATTGACCCAAAACAGAGAAACAGTAAAAATCAGATTCTTTCATTAAGTATCAAAGCAATCATCAATGACCTTCAGGACACGGAAGAAAATGGGAAGGGGAAAAAAGTTGGAATCTTTTCCAAACTAACAGAACCTGGGAACCCAATCCTCAAAAAGAAAGCCGCTTTGCCCCCAAAATTATATGGAAGTGAAAGAGAGACCCTTTACTGAGAATCCTCCGAGGACTCCCTATAAACTTAGCAATTCGACAGATCACAGAAACCCAATTCAGATACGGTCTGTACCCAAAAATGGTAAAGTCCTAATCAAGAAGCGAGCACTACTGAATCGGAAAGATCAAACAACCACTCAGAAGCAGACGAGTGATGGGAAATCAACAGGGCCATGAGAAATGACCCAGAAAAAAACTGACCTGATCGCCGGTGGAAGGCGAAACGGCGGATGCAGAGGAGGTTCTTGAACTGGGAGACGGCGGAGGCCACGATGAAATAGATTATTTCTTCTTCTGCCAGCAGTGCGTTTCCTTGCTTTATCAAAGTGAACGGAATGGGGAAGAAACGGAGAAAACTGGAGTGGGTAGTGAGTTAATTAATTAAAAAATAATAAGAAGAAGAACAGGAAGAGGCATCGAAAGTCTAAGTCAATCACTCATCTGAGGAAACAAAGATTGGAAGTTGAGGCATAGAACAAGAAGACGAGGACAAAGTGTGGAGTTGGTTGTTGTTTGCTTAGGGTTCTTTTTTTACATTCCATTCCTGTGAGGAGTGCAAAAGGAAACTGATCAAGGGTGGAGATGGAAGGAAAATTGCGCGCAAATGATAGGCTGTCAATTGCAAAAAAACAAAAAACTCAACGGCTAGCAAACGAGGAGCAGGGTGCGGCGGAGATGATCCGCGCTCCGGCGTAGAGAAAAGAATTGCCGCAGGGGAAAGAAAGAGGGCAGTGTGAGCCAGTCAGAATCTGACCACAGAGAGAGACCACCAAAATCTCTCTTCGGATTCGCCGACCGCCACCGGTTACTTTTCGCCGCCTCCTCAGTCGGCCGAGTCATATTATTAGTCCCTGGTCGAGCCGATTTAACCTGGTATCCGCCGAGCCAGCGGTTCGATTTCGGTTTTTTACAGGCCGGTTTTATTTTATCAGTCTACGAAAAGGAAGAAAGGAAAAAAATGCAGGCAAAGAAAGGTAAATGACCAACATCTCTCCCCGTATTGAAATCTCAATTAGGGTTCTACGCAAGACGGAACTCCGCAAATTCGAAAAAGCTTTCGCACCCAAATCCTCAGTCCTCACCAACATCTCCTCCACTGTCCTCTCTCGCCGGCCGGTTGTTACCCCAGCCACCACCAGTTGGCCGTCATTCAACTCGCCGACTCTTCTCCTCACGGCCTGAAGTAGAGAGCAAGTTCTTGTCGAGTCGCCGGCCATGGGGAATTCAGGAAAGGAGGCCGATGCATCTCTCGGCTACCTCACCAGGAAGGACACGGAGGTAAAGCTTCCTCGTCCTACTCGGGTCAAGAACAAGACCCCAGCTCCGATTCAAATCACTGCGGAGCAGATTCTTCGGGAGGCGCGTGAGCGGCAGGAAGCCGAAATCCGCCCGCCCAAGCAGAAAATTACGGACACCGGTGAGCTTGCGGATTACCGTCTTCGCAAAAGGAAGGAATACGAAGACCTGATTCGGCGGGTCAGGTGGAACATCAGTGTTTGGGTCAAGTATGCTCAGTGGGAGGAGTCGCAAAAGGATTTCAGCCGAGCTCGCTCGGTCTGGGAGCGAGCTCTCGAAGTTGACTACCGTAACCACACGTTGTGGCTGAAGTATGCGGATTTCGAGATGAAGAACAAGTTCGTCAATCATGCGAGGAATGTTTGGGATAGGGCAGTCAGTCTTTTGCCGAGAGTGGATCAGCTATGGTATAAGTATATACATATGGAGGAAATACTTGGTAATGTGGCTGGTGCGCGCCAGATCTTCGAGAGGTGGATGAATTGGATGCCTGACCAGCAAGGTTGGCTTTCCTTTATCAAATTCGAGCTTAGGTATAACGAGATCGAGCGTGCTCGGGGAATTTATGAGAGATTTGTTGAGTGCCATCCGAAGGTTACTGCTTGGATTAGGTTTGCCAAGTTTGAGATGAAGAATGGTGATATTGCTAGGGCGAGAAATGTGTATGAGCGTGCAGTCGAGAAGTTGGCTGAGGATGAAGAAGCAGAGAACTTGTTTGTGGCATTTGCTGAGTTTGAAGAGAGGTGCAAGGAAACTGAACGTGCTCGGTGTATATACAAGTTTGCGTTGGATCATATCCCCAAGGGAAGTGCTGAGAATCTGTATAGGAAGTTTGTTGCTTTTGAGAAGCAGTATGGAGATAAGGAGGGGATAGAGGATGCGATAGTCAGTAAAAGGAGATTCCAGTATGAAGATGAAGTGAGGAAAAACCCGCTCAATTATGATGCTTGGTTTGATTATGTTCGGCTGGAAGAAAGCGTAGGGGATAAGAATAGAGTTAGAGAGGTTTATGAACGTGCCATTGCTAATGAGCCTCCTGCTCCGGAAAAGAGATACTGGCAGCGATACATTTATTTGTGGTACACGGTTTATTCTCTTTCTTGGTTGTAGATGGAACTGGATTTCTTTTTTGTTACTCGTTAGTAATTATGTTTCCCTTTTTTGGTTTTGTTATTCAGGATAAACTATGCCCTGTATGAAGAGCTGGATGCTGAAGATGCTGAGCGAACAAGGGCGGTGTACAGGTATACCAACAGTTAGGCTCTATATTTTCCTGGTAGTTTTTGCTGCTGCCATCTTGTTCTTTTTGGTTGCTATACAGGTTTTATGATTTTTTATGTTAAGAATGCGTGTAAAGATTGTTCTGGGACTTGTTTCTACTCGTATATTTATTTTGACATGCATGCACCTGCATGGTTTTCAATTGAAGCTGAACCAACCTCGAGTGGCTTTCTAACACTTGTTGTGGTGGTTCTAGGTTATGTTTGCAGCAAATTCCTCATGAGAAGTTCTCATTTGCTAAAATTTGGCTTCTAGCTGCCCAGTTTGAGATCCGCCATCTAAATCTGAAGGGTGCTAGACAGATTTTAGGCAATGCAATTGGAAAGGCACCAAAGGACAAAGTAAGTTTTAGGAGCATTGTTGAGTGTGGTAAACTTTATAATACACTGATATTTTTTGTTCTAACTACTTGCTTGTGACCAAACAGATATTCAAGAAATATATTGAAATAGAGTTGCAACTTGGTAATATGGACCGTTGCCGCAAACTTTATGAGAAGTACCTGGAGTGGTCGCCTCAAAATTGCTATGCCTGGAGTAAATTTGCCGAGCTGGAGAGATCCCTTGGTGAAACTGAGAGAGCAAGAGCAATTTTTGAGCTCGCCATTGCTCAGCCAGCCTTGGATATGCCTGAGCTTCTATGGAAGGTACATTCTATAATCTTTGCTTTAGTCAAAGCCTCTCCCCCGTCCCTTTTATTATTTTCTAGGTTCATTTTCTTCTGTGGTTTCCTCATTAAAGAACTTGGCATAACTAATCGTGTCTTGATGGTAGCATAAGTTCCCCCCCCCCCCCCCCCCCCCTGCACTGCTTATGGATTTGATTGGTGGAATGCTGCCTATGAATTGTAAAATGACTCTTATCTGATCTGACTGCAGGCATATGTTGATTTTGAAATCTCTGAGAAGCAAATCGATAGAACACGACAACTTTATGAGAGGCTGTTGGATCGAACCAAGCACTTGAAAGTCTGGATTAGCTATGCAAAGTTTGAAGCTTCCACCATGGGGAATGATGATGATGATTCGGAGGAGGTTACAATTTCTGAGGACCAGAAGAAATTGTGTATTCAAAATGCAAGAAGTAAGCTTTCTGTCTCTAATGATATCTCTTGTATTTTTCTGCTCGAGGTTGTAAGGTAATTTTTAATTCATTTCAACAACTTTTGTTGTGCACATCAGGTGTATTTGAGAAAGCCCTTAACTACTTCAGAACTTCTGCTCCTGAGTTGAAAGAGGAACGGGCGATGCTTTTAGAAGAATGGTTGAACATGGAGAGCAACTTTGGCGAGCTTGGCAATGTTGCTTTGGTCCAGCCTAAGCTACCCAAGAAGTTAAAAAGGAGGCGGCCTATCAATTCAGAAGATGGTCTCTCTGGGTACGTAGTTAGAAGCTACCTAACTTTACAATCTCCGTTGTTTTCCAATATTCTTCTTTGTTCCACTTGAGTTACTTTCGTTAATAACAGCAAGTTTAACAAATGTTGGGATGTATTTGTTCTTCTCAGGATGGAAGACTACGTCGACTATGTCTTCCCGGAGGAGAATAATGCTCCAAACCTCAAGATCTTGGAAGCGGCTTACAAGTGGAAGAAGCAAAGGCTTTCTTCCTCGGACGAATAGCCCAAAATCTTCCTGTTGTTTTGAGTTCATTCACTTTGGTTATGTACAGATCCCTGGGGTGTTTATGGTGCTTTGGAGCAAAAAGATTCCATGTCCACTGGACCTTAGAATGCCTGTTTTAACTTGGAAAATTTGAGTGTACTAGTTTTGCCATGGAGGAAAGTAGGGAAGAAGAACCGAATCTGTATGGATTCTGTCATTCTAAGCCCAAGAATCGATTACTTGTACGCTAACTTCTGTACTTTTACTGGGAAAACCGTTTGATGGAGAAATTATAGGTGAGTAGTACGAGGTTTTGTTAGTAGTTTTTAGTAATTAACTGATAATAAGTCATTATAATCAATGTCATATTTGGTATTTTGCCCTGCATATCCTATCCTCTGTGATTGGCTGATAATATGTCACTATAATCTATATCAGCACCATGGTTCAAAAAGGCACGCTTAAATTTACGTTTATGCACGCCTAGGCGTAACTCGTAAGGCAATGATAAAACGCCTTGCCTAGAGGTTTCGCGCCTAATTGAATACTGGAACACGTCAATGAAATAAGGCGACATATAAGTCTCTCCTAAACATTACTAGATGAAGCTAAGAAGTCAATATTAAAGATCAAAAGTAACATCAACTACGAAATCAATTTTCTATTGCAATATTTTCAATAGCTCAAGAACTTTGTGAGCTATTGAGCTATGATTCTATGAATTCGTGAGCTGTATTCTTGTCATTAAGTGTTGAGTAAGTTATAAAACATTTTAACTGAAATGAGGAAGTGTTTTAGATTATTATTTCATTCATCATGTCGTGCGAATAGCTATTTTTCTTCCAACGCCTAGATACGTTTAGTCTATGTCTAAAAAACTAGGTGCAAGACAAAGGCTCGCCCTTTTTTAACCTTGATCAGCCCTATGCTACAGAGTACAGCCCATTAATCTAACCCAGAAAGTAGAGGAACTAATTAATTAATGAACTAAACAAACACGTCACAAACAAGAACAGTTGACATAGATCCCTGACGAATTGCCAAGTTGCGGAATCTCTGTTCGTCTACTCTCACCTCACATCAAGTCAACCACCAATACTAGGACGGAGCTTCCAACCATCATTGCCACAAGGGATCGTTTGGCAAAATTTTCCTAATTTTCCAATATTTTCTTTAATTGTTTCACTCACTAACTCACCTTCTCAAACCAAAATCAGTCAACTCGTTTACACAGGTCTGAATACAAGAATATTATGTGTTTCACAAATAAATAAGGTTATCGGATTCGAACATAAGACCTCTCGGTGGCTCTATACTATGTCAAGAACCCTTTGATCCCAATAATTCGAATTGTTTGGAGATGTTCAATAATGAATTCATTCACTAACACTTATCATGTGCCGGAGAGCATTAAAAATAATAGTGTCAATCTAAAGTTTAAGCATGGGCAATTGGGTATATATGTCTTGGAGTAGTGGTGGCTATACGGTCCGGTTAAATTGGCCCAAATTGATCCGGTCCATTATGGTCTTTTTGAAAATATAAGGACCAAAGATTGGATTGGATACAGTCTGGTCTTGATTCGGTCCGGTCTTGACCCGGTCCGGTCCCAATTCGGTCTTGTTTTTTTTTATTGAGCTTGTGGGGATTTGAGTGGCCTAAGGCCTGAAAGGGTGAGGAGTTGGTTAAGTTTTGTACTAAGTTCAAAGGTTTGTGACCGTTTATGCAAATTACCCTTAAGTTTTAGGTGTTGAGCACTCTTATCCAGTCTTTATCCAGTTTTTGATCCGGTCCCGAACGATTTTTTTACCTTACATCTAAGCCCAAAGATTGGATTGGATTATTTACTATCCGGTCTCTGTCCGGATTATACGATACGGTTTCGGGTAAAACCAAAAAACCCCCACCAAATAGCCAGCCCTATATTGGAGTGTAGAGATCTAAAAATAGTTGGTAATATATTCCATAATTTGGCATCCGATTTCAAAACAAATTAACTTGTTGTTACATTTTTTTTCTCTAAAAAATTTGTTGGTACGAACTAAGAACCATCTAAAAATTTGTTGGTACATTTTGAGGGACAATTCACCTTCGTTCATAAATAAAAAAATAAAAAAATTTCACCACAAAGTCTAGCGGCCAAACGACAAAGTAGAAGAGTCTTGTCCCACTCGCTTACTCATCGGCGATTGACGTCCACGCTCCTTACGCCCACCTAACAAAAGAAAAAAACAAACCGAAGATTTCTCATTTTATATATTTTTTGTATTCTTCCTCTTGTATAAGAATTGCATCCCAGTTGTAGCGCAAGATTTCTGCAGGAAATCTCTCTCTACAACTTCGGGGGCTCGGGTTTTATTCAACGACACCCGCCGATTCGACTTTGACTCGGTCCCCCAACCCGCGACGCCAGTCTCCCTCCTTCGGCGGCGAGGTACCCGCCGTAATTTGACTTCCGGCCGTTTGCTTCTGCTGCTACTTCGTTGAGCTACAATGGGCTCCGTTGCGCAGGTGAAGATTCTTTTTTTTTTTTTTTTGAGTTGGCCGATTTCAGATTGATTATCAGAACCAGGGTTGTTGATTCGGGGATTCATGACCGGGTTTGCTGTTTTTCTTCTGGTGATCAAGGGTTTTACCAAGTCTCTGGCCATGACTATTCTGTCCGAGATCGGCGACAAGACCTTCATCGCCGCCGCGGTGAGTTTTTTCTCCCATACAAATCTCTTTGGCTACTGGGTTTGATCGGAAACTTGATGTTGAATTCTCCGGCTTCGTTCCGGTTGTTTCTTGAATCTTTTTTTCGCTGCTGGAGCAGGATGTGGATGAAGCCAATTTAGAATAAAAGTATATATGCCAAAGTGAATTAGATTAGCTATAGACGGGTACTCGTAAAAGCTGATCGGTTTGCTTTACCTAACTTTAAAGGAATATGAAACCATTGAATCTATTAGCAAAGCGAGTGTGCCCAGTTCGTAAAAAGTAAAACTCTCCTATAAGCTCCGAAGAACGATTTCTCCCCCTCCATTTTTAATGCAAGTTCTGTACAATTTTAAGCTTCCACATAGGTGGTGTATGAAGCGACCGCAGCCATAGTAGCGGATATTTAGTTCTCCATTATGGTCTATGAATTCATGCAAGTACAGTTATATTTCTCGAAAAACTGATTCTTCTATCTTGATCAGTACTGTGTCATGCAGGGGGTTCTATTTATAATCCCAAATGATGAAGCCCCTTAAGTATGATCATTGTAGGGGTTGCTTCCATATTATTTGATGGGGTAGCAGCAACCCATTGATGTTGTTTTTGGTTATGTAGCCCTTGAGGCAATTTTGCACCAAAATTTTTATAACTGATGCATTCGTTTTCAGTTGATTGTCTGAATTTTTGTATGTGAGGAATCTTGTGCCATATTTGCCGGTTTCAACAGTTAATTGGCATGCAGCTTAAATGATGCTTTTTGGTTTCTATGATTTGCTTTGAACTCTCCAAAAAAAATGAGAATATTGACACGTTTGTTAGCTTTTGGATTCATGGTACCTGAATTTTGTTAAAGCTTTGACCTTTTTCTTTCTGAAAGCTTTCTTATATTTTGTGTGTTCATTTTGGCTCATCTGAATCTTTTTGGTTGTTTCAAGATATTGGCAATGCGTCATCCAAGGAGGCTTGTTTTGGCAGGATGCCTGGGTGCATTGATCGTAAGTGTCTTTCACATCTCCACCTTGATTTTACATGTCGATACTCCCATGCCTCGTCAGCTAATTTAATACCATAATAACATTTTGCAGGTCATGACTATGCTTTCTGCTGTTGTCGGTTGGGCTGCTCCAAATCTGGTATTTTGCTTTTGTGTGAAGTTGGCCTCAGAAAATCGATTTGCTTTCTCTATGTTTCTCTGTCCCACTGCACCATTGTGACCTACTTTTTTCACACATGATTTACATACGTCATGAAGTTCAAGGCCCATCAATCTCTTAGAAATTTAAACATTTGAGCTTTGTGAGATCAAACATACAGTGATGACAATTTTTCGTGCCCTCTTCAGAATTGGTGCTGTGTTGTATAATCATGTGAACTCAGTCATGTTGTTGGGCTTGTTCTGTTTGGCTCTTTAGTGGTTATCATTCCATCATTCATTATTTGGGGATTTGTAAGCGTGATTGTGTATTTAAAGCCTTCACCATTATGTTCTAGGTTATACTGCACTGTGTGATCTCAGCCGGCCTCTTTTTACTTCATGGTTCATTCTGTTTATGCAGCTCTCTCGTACATGGACACATCATATCACGACAGTATTGTTTTTTGGCTTTGGACTTTGGTCCTTGTGGGATGGATTTAAAGGAGACGGGTATGATACTTTTCTGACCATTTTCTTCCGTTTGATCTCAGCTTGCTTGTTCTATTGTTTTGTTATCCTGTTTCTTTCTTGCTGTCTTCAGCAATAGCAAATTGACGATTCATCTTCTTTATGTTTTCTTTCATTGATTTTAATTTTCTTCCGTTCAATAGGGATGCTGATGAATTGGCTGAAGTTGAAGCAGAATTGGTAATTATCTCATGTAATAACATCTTACATTCAAGTGAATCCTATTTAACTTTTCCTTGATCTGCATTGTAGGATGCTGACTGGAAATCTGGTTCTGGAACGAACAAGGAAGATAGCAAGGTAGAGTACCAGTGTAGTAGAGGTTATGATTTTGGGCATGTTGATGTTCTTTTTATATCTTTCGTGATTGATTACTTTTGGCTTCTCTGTTCACCAAAGTCATTCCTAATTTAACTGCTTCAACTTTTGACAGAATGGTGATGAGTCGAAAAAGAAAAGGCGGCCATTTATGGCACAGTTCTTTTCACCAATTTTATTGAAGGTAAGAGGTCTATTTTCCTACATTTTTTGTCTGAAACCTTGGAAGCTCACCTGGTTTCTTCCGTGCTTGCTGTTTCAGGCATTCTCCATTACATTCTTTGGTGAATGGGGTGACAAGAGTCAGGTGCAGATGATCACTGCTGCTTTCTTTCTATGAATATTCAATTTTAATATTTATTAATATATTGAGTTGTTTCCCCAATTCTCACACTTAGTTTCATCTATTGCAGCTAGCTACTATTGGTTTGGCTGCTGATGAGAACCCTTTTGGTGTTGTTCTTGGCGGGATTCTGTACGTGATCAAAGTTTATTGCTTTGTGGCTGGTAGTTTTTGAATATTGACAACATTTCATAGGATCACTAATTCTTTTCTTGTTCACCTCCCTTTTCGGCTGAACCCAATTCTCAGAGGACAAGCATTGTGTACAACTGCTGCTGTTGTAGGAGGGAAGAGCTTGGCATCACAGATATCCGAGAGAATGGTACGTAGATGCTCTACTTATATATACTAGATTGGTTGAAAAATTGATGGGCATTTATTCTGCTACTTCCATCTTCCCTGGAGGAAGCTGTGCGTTTGTTCTACTTGTTCATCAGAGTTATAGATTAATTATGATCCCATGTTTCAGGTTGCCCTCTCAGGTGGAATTCTATTCATTGTTTTTGGCATCCAATCCTTTCTTTCCGATGTCAACTAAAAGAAGCTTTGTAAACTATACTAACGGTCAGTACCTCAACCCCGACTTAAAATGACTATATGATCATTTATGAGTTGGTCATTCATCTCATATGGAGGTTCTTATGCTGTCATCAGAAGAGGAACCTACTTTTGACGTTTATGCATAATTGAAACTAATCATAGGTCTGTTGTTACATCCACAGGGATAGGAAAGGTGGTTCCTCTAGTCTCAGAAACCACAGTCATGCATGAAAGAAGTCTGCTATTAATTTAGCGCTCAGCCAAGTTCCAGAGCGCTACTCTGTCTTGTAACGGAAGAAAGGTCTGTCGGAACGACGAATATACCAGGCCATATTTCTAGCTTCGGAGAATGTTTTGGCGGGACTACTGTGGCTGAGCAGATGACTAACATGCCTTTACTTGAGGACTTGAATCAGAACATTTTCCTTTTGCCACTGTAGACGGATATTTGTGGTGCTGTCTATGTAGTTTTATTTGTCACCTCCAACAATTCCATGGGGGGTATCAGTCTATCAGATACTCCGATCTTCCTTGACCTCACTCTCAATAGACAAGTCTGTATTATTGAACAATGAACATAGACAAAATTGGATTAAACTTTATGAAGGACTTCTTTTCCAGAATGTATCTTTTTTCTCTGGCAAAACTACTACCACAGTTGTTAAATACTAGGATTCATGTCCATGAATAGGGTAGAAGTTCCTTCATTCAAAAGGACAAACCATTCGCCACCACTTTTGCATCTAACTCATTGGAAGTTACAAGTATTGACACCACATATTCTTATCCTTTTCCAGTCTTTTTTTCATATATATACACACTATCAGATAGAACTAACATAGACACCAAAGAGAAGCAACCTCAAGAGAAATATCATCATTCTGGCCTGGCTGCCTCATTCAACATCCACCGCTCGCAGGTTCAATTGAACTCAACAGCCCGTTTCCTCTCAGCTGCGTGCAATGGTCCTCCGCGTCAGCTTGAGCGCAAATAATCACCACAGCTAGGCCATTGTAGTGTGCCTCTTGCATTATGTTCACCGCATTGTCCACTGTCATCCCGGGTATAACTTTCATCAAAACTTGGACCACGTATTCCCGTTTGTTGAAGTTGTCATTGTGCAACATCACGCGATAAGGGGGTGACATTTTCCTCGATTTCCTGGACATGAAGCAAAATGGCAATACTGGTGAAAAATAGAGATTTTATTTGATCTGTGTTTTGAGTTAAAATGAAAATTGAGGTTGTTACCTCAAGTCAAACTCAGAGTCACGGCCAGGAGTGGTTTTCTCAATCACTGGTCTGTCAAGTACGCCTCCCCCTTTACCTGGCGCTGCTGCTGATACTGCCATGAGAATTCCACGGACGCTACATCTTCCTCGACATAGAGAGTGTTTATCCCCTGAAGATACATTAGCAAACATCAGTAAAGGTCAAACAACATAGGGTACCCAATAAATATCCATGCATTACAATATGAGTCTAGTCTCCTCTGTCGACTGTCGCAACTTGCAAGGAGATCGAACCGTATAGGTCCATTGTCCCAAACGTCACCGTAAAAGTCACAAGTCCCCACTCTCCATTCTCCAACAGCAACTTTCGGGTTTTTCGGGTTTGTATCGGTTTTCGGGTTACATCAACCGAAACTGTTTTGTATCACACTTCGGGTTGAAACCGAAAACCCGAAACCCGAAAATAATATTGCCGGTTCAGGTTCGGTTTAACCCGAAATCCCACCCCTAAATATGACCTCTGTTCAAAGGAGGCAGAACAATTAAAACCTAGCAATCGAGAAACACATCCCATAGATAACTAGTCTTAGCTTGTGGCCAAGAATCAATAACATAGACGAATAACTATATGCTGAAAAAAGAAATGCAGTATTGCATGGAGACCTGTAAACTACCCAAATATGCAATTTACAAGTTTACAAATCTGATGAATTGGAAAGTGATAAACAAGAAACCAAAGAAACAATGTAGTACCTTCCAAAAGCAGTAATAGTAAAGTTAAATCTAAAAAAGGGAACTCCTACAAGTCATCCATGAACCATGATGGTTCTGCATCATGCTACGACATGTGCCATTGTGTAAAAATGCATGTGCGAGAGCAATGAACACTAGAGTCAGGCAGGCTGTAATTAAATTCATTCAACTGCCAGTATCTAATGGCCTAAGCTAAAGCAAGCATATTACAATACCTGTTAGCAGATAGTTTTCAGGGCAACCTAAGCTCTAAGAGATCCTACCCATCCACAAAACTCCATGGTGGTTCCCACCAATTCCACCAACAAAGCAAACAGTAAAACAAAAACCAGCTACTGTTTATAGACAACTTCGTATACAACCAATTCTCCAATGCCGGACGAATCCTAAAAGCCGACTGTCATGGTGTTGTTCGACCAGTTGCTCTAAGAAACAACATGCATGCAGCGATACCAGAGTCCTCAATTACTAATAAGTCAGTCAGCCCTCAACAAACTGAACTACAGCGTTGAACTATCAATTCTGGTTTCATACTTTCATCTACCAGGCAGAACTAATAGAGAGCTTTTATTCTACTAATCACCATTCCAGGAAAACAAAAGAAACCCAATTGAAGACTCAAAATACTGAAAATAAACCACCCAAATAAACCAATTGAATTGGCAGCGAGTTGAGTTGAATTAGAGAAGGGAAAGGGACGAAATTTCCAGATTCTAGCTCTCTCAATTCCAGTGGAGAAAGGGAATTGACGAAGCTGACAACAGAAATCGACCATGAACCAGAAAGGGTATGTAGATTGAGAAAAGAGCAATAATCCGGATCCCAAATCAAAGGCAAGAGAAAGGAAGCGGGAACCTGGCTTGGGATTGAAGACGGGATTGGGTGAGAGACCGATTCTCCCACAGAAGGCAGTCTCCATTCCTCTCCGCTTCCCTTTTTTTTTTTCTCTTCTCTATTGGGTTTGTAAAATTTTCGCCAAAAATGAAACCACCACTCTCCCCCTCTGGTTACTGATATATTCTCTTGAAATTTATTTGTTGTTTTTCAATCTTTTCATTTCCTCCTCATATTTTCTTTTACGGTAAATGGGAAAAAATAAATAAACTCGTGTGAGGGGAAATTTGGTGGTTGAAAGGAGATGGCAGATACGCTCTAGGTAGACGCCGTTATGGCCACCAGAACAGAAACAGCGCAAACAAAATATCTGTTTGCAACAAAAACATAAAAACAAGGATCCTCTTTTGTCTGGTCGATGATTTCGTGGTCACCTTCTCGTAGGCTGGGGGGATGTTGTTTCAATGCGATTCAATAGCGATTTGTAAAAATTAGTGGGCCTGTAGAGGTTGGTGTTCGAGTCATTTCAAGATATTAGCGAATTTATTACAAGACATCGAAATCGTCTTAGAGAGTAGAGATCGGTGTTCGAGTAATTTCAAGAGATTAGCGAATTTGTTGCAAGACATTGAAGCCGTCTTAGGAAGCATCATGACTTATACTAGTAATCATTAAAAGTGTCCGTCTTTAGTCGACATTAAGCTTGCCTGCTTGCTCAATCAGGGTATCATTAGAACCTGCTCCATTAGTAGTCTTTTTGAGGTTTCACTCAAATATTGAATTCATAGCAGCAGCATGGAATGCCGTCAATATATACACACACCACATCATTGCTAGCTATCGGCAGAGGCAGTACACTCCACATTTACACTGCATACATACTAGCAACGGCCTTTTCCCATGGCTAGTAGCTATAACCTATACATCAAATGCATTAGTTTACTGCAACAACTCACTGGTTTACCAAAACTGGAGATCCTCCCTCCTCTTTCTATCTATTGCTGCTGCTGTTCAAGTTTCTGGATCAAGGACCTCTTCTCTTCTTCCGACGGAGCATTGAACATGAAGCCAATGTCATCCTATTAACCCCCAACAAAAACAACATCACAAATCTCAGAACACAAAGTTGGACACATGCCTTGAAATTTTTTGATGGATTCATATACAATGCACCACGAGTAGGCAGCTGTTGTTCTTACCTTAATGGGCTGAGTGAACTTCCTACCAGCAAATATGAGGAAGAGTGCCATCCATGAACCCAGCAGTGCTTGTTTCGCTCCATCATCCATTAGACCACTCTGCCATAGTTCAGTTAAATCAAATCATTCATCACAAACACACTAAATCAACTTATTTTGAAGTAGTGTGGGTATGATGAACATGAGAATACCAGCTTCCAGCTTCCCATAACACAGATCTGATAACATCAATCCCTCATCTCAAAATCGTTCAGCAGCGTCGAATGAAGTAGCTGCCGTCACTAGTCCCTCCCTGTGCAAGACGACTTGAAAGTTCACAACTCCGCAAATTAGCCAAAGCCTCGATTTTCTCCCCAAATTGGGCGAAAGTAAGGGAATTGGATAACGACCCAGTTAAAGATGGAGGAAAGTGTGGAATGGAGTGCAGTGGCGGACCCAGGATTGTCGGAGAGGTGTGTCGCCGATAAAATAAAATAATAATTAAATTAAATTAAATAAAAAATTAAGTAAAAATTAAAAAAAAATTAATTCATAAAGTTCACGATGTCATGTTTACAAATAATCGCGATGACTTTTCATCTGCTGAAATGTCTCTAAAATACATTAATCACTTATACGGCAAAGAAAATCTTTTTCAATATACACAACTAAACAATCATTCATAAATTGGTCACTCAACCGATTTCGAAGATCATTCTTGATTATCTTCATAGCTAAAAATGTTCTTTCGCAGCTTGTCGTTGCAACAGGTAATGATGGGGAGTTAGTGGCCGCCTGAGCTATTGGCCATTAGGCCTGTGGGTTTTTTTTTTCTCTTTTAATTATAGGCCAAGACCCAACACACATCACACATGTATATTGTATGGGCTGAGAGTTTTTTTTTAATAGGAATTGATAGGATTATGATTTATGAGTTATTTTAAACAAAATTAAAATGGATTATGATTAAGATTGATTTATTCGGATAATAAATTCTTCGAGTATAATGAAGGTGTGTCGGCTATAATTATTAAAGGTGTGTCGGCTATCTCGAAATAAAAAAATTTGTACAAAAAATATGTAGGTCCTTCACAAAATTCTCGAGCGAGGGTGTGTCTGACGACACACCCTCCCTTGCCTTAGGTCCACCACTAATGGGGTGTGTAGACCGTAGAGGCTTCATTACCCGTTGAAAACGCGGAGTCTTCCGCTCTCCAGGGGGCCATAATCTCCTCTCCTCTGTAAGTCTGGGAGGTGTCGCTGACGGCCTTGCAGTTGATGGATCCTCTTCCATTTCTTGGCTTTCGGTATTCTTTCTTTGGCTAAATTGCAAGATTGTTCACTTGAATTACTAGTAAAATTCACGTCACTAGAATTATTTTATTCCATCCATAGTCACTTAGATTAGATTAATATTTCAAATTTGGTCTAGTCTCCATTAACTTTTGCTGATGTGGTGGTCAACTCTTATAGTTGATCGTTAAATGAGTGACGTGACCATTAAAAAGGTAAGAAAGTAATAATTTTTAATTTTTAATAATTTCCATCTCATTATTACAATAAATTAAAAAATAATTAAACAATAATTTCCACATTTTTAGAAAAGATGAATAGCCTGTAGCATACTTTTTGACTAGGGGGAAATTTGGCAGCAGGCTGGGTTGCTGCCCGCAGCAGCTGCCTGTCCATATGGAGCTCCCCCATTGGCTCAATATTTATAATTTTAATTTATTTCATTGCTAGCCATAATTGTCTATTAGAATGGATGGAACGGAACGGAACAATTTCCGTTCTTTCTTTTTTCCCTTTTCCCACTGTAAAGTTACTGAGCCCATATCAAATAATATAGTTTGGTTAAAGTTTAATGCCTAATTCTATATAAATTAAGTCTAGTACAAATAAATCATTCAAACGAAATGGTATCAATCAAAATATAATCTGTGTACTTCTTCCCACTAACGACAAATGTAATTCTAAGAAAATAATCTCCTGAAATGCAATAATCCTTCTGAGATACTTAAGAAAAAATAAATGTTGTCACTGTTCTGCACCGTGTAGATTAGGATTTGTCGTCATGGCATCCTACAAATATAACAAAGACCATAATTATATTAGTGTCTAAATTTTAAAATAAATTATTAAAATAAACAATAATTGGATCGTCTTTATACCTGTAACAATTGTGTGAATGATATATTGCTTAAAGAAATAGCGGAATCATTTTCTCCAGCCAGACTGATAATTGAACTCTGAGACTGCTGCCCAATCACCATCTGAATATTATAAAAATTATTACATTATGATTGATAAGATACTTTCACGTAGACTTTGATATAAGAGAAAACAAAATACTAGCATTCTAATTTGGATGAAAAAATATATATGCAAAGTAAAACCTGATTGTTTTGTTCTAGCACTTCAGTACTGCTTCCACCTTGTTGAGAAGAACTAGCTTTGAGCTTCTTACCCTATATATAATAAGATTTTCAAAATAAATAATATAAGAAGATAGTATAATACTTTTATCTTATAAAACAAACACAAAGGAGAAAAAGAACCTGTGATTTTGATTGAACCTTGTGACTTTTTCCTCGCTCTAATGCACCTTTCATTCCTCCTTTCGGTCGTCCAACCGTAGCTTTTGACTTTACTCCAACTACATTTGGATAATCTTGTTCATGATTAGAGCATAATACCTCATCAGAAGTTCCAGCATGTGAACTTTTTTTCATTTCCTGCAAATTCTTCAGCAAATTTGAAAAAACTTCACTTGCATGCTCATACATTCTGTCGCTCTCGGCTGCTAGTGTGGATATCTCTCGAAAATTATAATGCAAATCGAAGTAACGCTTCCCAATGAGTTTCTCAGAACTTCCCTGCACTCGACTTGAACTGCTGATATATCCATCTTTTGCATCCTTTGTCCATCTTTTTGATATATATTGCCTTGGGATTTGCTTTATATTTTTCTTGTCAAGAACTTTCAAAGCATGAGAACACAAAATCCCCACAAACTCAAACTTCATGCAACTACATTCAACTCTTTGAGGCGAAGACTCAAACCAGACACGATGCCCTGCACCTCTACCAGCATATTTCACTTTATATTCCGCCCGACCTTCGGTTTTGCTCATCTTATCAATTGTGCAATCCCAAACTTTCAGATATTCTTCTTCGAACAGCTTAAGGATTTTAGGAGTGTACACTTCTGATGCATGCCTTAACATCTCAACATCGGCTTTTAATGCAGGGCTTGTGTTCCTCATTTTGAACTCTGCAAGTAGTTCTTGGTACCTTCTATCTTCTACCAATTGATCAAAATGATAAAAAAAAGTATACCATATTGTGTTTCGGCTTCAGGTACTTCTTTAACACACTATTCATTGATTCACTGCGTTGTGTACTCTTCATATCAGCAGTAAACATATGACGCCCATAAATCATAGCCCACTTTTCTTTTACTGAGAATATCCCTTGCAACCATTCATTATTCTCCAAATCATACTTTTTAAGCATAGCATCCCAACCTTTATACCATTCATCTTCATCTTCATAGTCATATACACATGAACTAAAATCACTAGCAAATTGGTCGGATGCATGAAACACATGGCTTAAGTGTTTAGCAGCATTCTGATAAATATGTCAAACACATAAACGATGATGAGTTTCAGTAAATACCTCTTCAATTGCTTTGGCCATAGCAGCTGATTGATCTGTCAATATGGTTTTGGGTTGCCTTCCAGCCATTGCACCCAAAAATGCTTCAAACAACCACTTGAAGGAGGATATTGTTTCATCATAAAGTAATGCTGCCCCAAAGATCACTGTCTGCTTCAGATGATTGACTCCAACAAATGGAGCAAACGGTCGGCCATACTCATTAGTCCTATATGTTGTATCAAAACATATAACATCGCCGAAGTACTTGTAATCAATTATTGACCTGCCATCATCCCAGAACATATTCATCACAAAATCATCATCATCAAGCTGCAATGAGTAAACAAATGATGGATCCTCTGTTTGTGCTTTACGAAAATAATCCATAATTGCATGACCATCTCCTTTAATCATTGTAGCTCGCCTTTGTGCAGCAATATAGTTTTTGTAGTCTGAATCCAAAAATCCATTATTTTGACGACCTCCATTTTGGATTGCTAGCAAATCGATAGTCGCCTTGATTGGCAACCCAGCTCTCTCAGCATCATTTGCAATAGCTTTTTGAGCATAACTTATCTTTCTGTTGGACCTTAACATGTGCTTCATTGGAGTTGGGGCAAGGTCATGATTATGATTTTCTTCAAAAGAAACAATCTCCAGCAAGCCATCCTTTTTCAGTTGACAAGTCATTTGTGCTAAACAACCGATTCTGGTAATTGGTCATTCAAAAGCCACATTCTCACGCCTTTTATCGAAACCCTTTTTGCCTTCTTTAGAACAACAAAATGTTCTTCTTTTCACTTGACCTGCTCGCGTTCGCTTGACATAGCGCTTCTTTACACTAAAACCAACACTGTGGGCATATGCTTTATAAAATGCATAAGCACTATCATCGCCATCAAACTTCATGCCTATACATGGCACTTCGCTTTTTTCAGTCATATTATTTGCACCTCGTGTTTTGGGACTCGTATGATCCGTATCTGAAAGATAGAACATAATATCAATTTGTAAGCCTATAAGAGCTAAGTATATCGTAACACAAAATATTGAATGATCACCCATATCAAAGCAACCCGTAAATACATAAAAATAGTACTCAACTAAAATAGTTCCTCAGTATTCATACCAAAATTTAAAACATACTGTGGGTTCGCAAGAACAAATAGCTTAGTAGAATAAAAGAAATAATTCCTCATTAGCAGTATCTTTACAGGTATCAAATAGGTAAAAGCTAGTGCAAACATGATTATAAAAAGAGAACCTAGTTGGTAATGACATTGTTCAAAATAAACCCAGCATGAAGATGATCATTCTTTTTGTTGAGAGGCGCTCCTGTTGCGGCTTCGAGTGAATTGGAGTGCAAAGAAGAATAAAACTCTTAAAGAGGAAAACCTAACGGGAAGCAATTAAACCTAAAATCATAAGGTTATTAATTATATAAAAGTGCAATTCTGTTCCACTTCCATCTTGGAAAAAGGAAAAGGGGAAAAAGAAAGAACGGAAATTGTTCCGTTCCGTACATTCCAATAGGCAATTATGGCTACCAATGAAATAAATTAAAATTATAAATATTAAATGGGGGAGTTTCATGTGGACAGGCAGCTGCTGCGGGGAATGGATCAGGTCAATAACCTTATAGTGAGTAACCATGAGTAACCCGTCCATATCAGCATGACATCAACATCTTCTCTCTCATGGAAAGCATTTAATTTTTCCCTCTTTAATTTTTGACGGACGATTTTTCGCTCATTTTAAGTCGAAATTTAATTTTTTTTACACAGTTAGATCAGATTAATTGTGCTCTTCAAAATGATATCCACTTTAATATATTTTTCGAACAAAAAAAATTGATCCATTTTTTACCAGCATATACCATATGGTATTGACTGGTATTGAAATAAAAGCATACCTATGTTTTGAAAAACGTACCATGGTGGTATGAACAAACCAATACTGTAGGATGGTTGGATACATGATAGTAGAAGTATATTAATTGTAATTTACGACTTTTAACATTGTATACCACATAATACCACCCCGTACCAGGGTGGTATTGTATTGTATTGTGTGGTATTTTTTGGTCATGTAATTTGTTCACCCAGAAATTTGTAGATCCAATAGATCATGATGAACTCGTCCCTTCTGTGCAAACGTTTTCAAAAATGAATTAAAAACGAAGAAGATACCATACAATACCACCCCGTACCAGGGTGGTATTGTATGGTATTGTGTGGTATTTTTTTGTCCTGTAATTTGTTCACCCAGAAATTTGTAGATCCAGTAGATCATGATGAACTCATCCCTGTTGTGCAAACGTTTTCAAAAACGAATTAAAAACGAAGAAGATACCATATGGTATGCAGTTGGTACCGAGAGGCCAGAATTTTTTTTTCCTAAAAAAATATTGAAAATTGATCTCATTTTGTAGGGCACGGTGAACTCGTTCCATCTGTGCAAAAAAAATTAAAATCCGAGTTAAAACGAAAAAGATATGAGTCAATTAAGAAAGCTAGTGAAAATAAAAATAGCTTTTAATTCTCCATCATTAGATTTGGATTTTCTAAATGAAGGGTCCAGATTTGGTTATTGATGGGTGCATAACCATGGGTTATGCACCCTATCTTGAGCCGCTGTTGCGGGCAGGGGAATGGATCAGGTCAGTAACTTTGTGGTGGGAATGGATCAGGTCAGTAACCTTATGGTGAGTAACCATGAGTAACCCGTCAACATCAGCATGACATCAGCATCCTCTCTCTCATGGAAAGCCTTTAATTTTTCCCTCTTTAATCTTTGATGGACGATTTCTCGCTCATTTTAAGTCGAAATTTAATTTTTTTTGCACAGTTAGATCAGATTAATTGTGCTCTTCAAAATGATATCCACTTTAATATATTTTTCGAACAAAAAAAATTGAGCCATTTTTTACCAGCCTATACCATATGGTATTGACTGGTATTGAAATAAAAGCATACCTATGTTTTGAAAAACGTACCATGTTGGTATGAACAAACCAATACTGTAGGATGGTTGAATACATGATAGTAGAAGTATATTAATTGTAATTTACGACTTTTAACATTGTATATCACACAATACCACCCCGTACCAGGGTGGTATTGTATGGTATTGTGTGATATTTTTTGGTCCTGTAATTTGTTCACCCAGAAATTTGTAGATCCAATAGGTCGTGATGAACTGGTCCTTTCTGTGCAAACGTTTTCAAAAACGAATTAAAAACGAAGAAGATACCATACAATACCACCCCGTACCAGGGTGGTATTGTATGGTATTGTGTGGTATTTTTTGGTCCTGTAATTTGTTCACCCAGAAATTTGTAGATCCAGTAGATCATGATGAACTCATCCCTGCTGTGCAAACGTTTTCAAAAACGAATTAAAAACGAAGAAGATACCATATGGTATGTCGTTGGTACCGAGAGGCCAGAATTTTTTTTTCCTAAAAAAATATTGAAATTTGATCTCATTTTGTAGAGCACGGTGAACTCGTTTCATCTTTGCAAAAAAAATTAAAATCCGAGTTAAAACAAAAAAGATATGAGTCAATTAAGAAAGCTAGTGAAAATAAAAATAGCCTTTAATTCTCCATCCTTAGATCTGAATTTTCTAAATGAAGGGTCCAGATTTGGTTATTGATGGGTGCATAACCCATGGTTATGCACCCTATCTTGAGCCGTTTGTGGTGAGTAACCATGAGTAACCCGTCCACATCAGCATGACATCAGCATCCTCTCTCTCATGGAAAGTCTTTAATTTTTCCCTCTTTAATCTTTGACGGACGATTTCTCGCTCATTTTAAGTCGAAATTTAATTTTTTTTGCACAGTTAGATCAGATTAATTGTGCTCTTTAAAATGATATCCACTTTAATATATTTTTCAAACAAAAAAAATTGAACCATTTTTTACCAGCCTATACCATATGGTATTGACTGGTATTGAAATAAAAGCATACCTATGTTTTGAAAAAGTACCATGGTGGTATGAACAAACCAATACTGTAGGATGGTTGAATACATGATAGTAGAAATATATTAATTGTAATTTACGACTTTTAACATTGTATACCACACAATACCACCCCGTACTAGGGTGGTATTGTATGGTATTTTTTGGTCCTGTAATTTGTTCACCCAGAAATTTGTAGATCCAATAGATCATGATGAACTCGTCCCTTCTATGCAAACGTTTTCAAAAACGAATTAAAAACGAAGAAGATACCATACAATACCACCCCGTACCAGGGTGGTATTGTATGGTATTGTGTGGTATTTTTTGGTCCTGTAATTTGTTCACCCAGAAATTTGTAGATCCAGTAGATCATGATGAACTCATCCCTGCTATGCAAACGTTTTCAAAAACGAATTAAAAACGAAGAAGATACCATATGGTATGCAGTTGGTACCGAGAGGCCAGAATTTTTTTTCCTAAAAAAATATTGAAAATTGATCTCATTTTGTAGAGCACGGTGAACTCGTTTCATCTGTGCAAAAAAAATTAAAATCCGAGTTAAAACGAAAAAGATATGAGTCAATTAAGAAAACTAGTGAAAATAAAAATAACCTTTAATTCTCCATCTTTAGATCTGGATTTTCTAAATGAAGGGTACAGATTTGGTTATTGATGAGTGCATAACCATGATTATGCACCCTATCTTGAGCCTGCGGTCAGCAACCCAGCCTGCTGCCAAATTTTCCCCTTTTGACTATATCCCTCCCTTCTTTGATAGTGCCAAAACTCAGAGCAATTGACCCTCAGATATCGGGTATTGTTGGTTTCTCTTTACAACCGAAGAGTGAGAAGAATCACAGGGCATTGTTCAAGAAACAATGTGAAATTGTTGATCAGGTTGAAGCTGCCGGTGAGGCACCTCCCCACCGGCACATTCAGCTGCGATCCGCCGTCCAACCCGAACCACAACATGTGCCGAACAGCTTTTCGGAATGCTTTCGTGATGGGCATTTCTCCATCGCCGACCCCTCCGAAATCGGTAATCGACATCACCGTCTTCCTCGCCGGGATTCTCCCATAGAATCCAGAATATCTTTCGGCGTCGGTGGGGAAATCCGATTCGAAGGATCCCCGGGCCCGGCCGTCGTGATTTGGAAACAGAGAAGCGCTGCCAGGGCGGGGGCCAGCACGAGGACCAGCGACCGTGAATATAGCTTCATCGCCTTCACCGCCGCTGTGCCGATCCCCTGCTGTTGGTTCTCCTCATCCATCTTTCTTTCGGAATTTCAAAAGCATATGCATGTGAGAGCCCAATCGTGGCAGCGGAAAATTGAATAAATTGGAAGAGGCGCGCCGTGTGGGGGGAGAATCAAGAAGATATTGAGTATTGTTGGTTCTTCTTTTTCTTCTTCTTCAATTGGAGCTCCCATTAATCCAGAGTTCCCCTCGGTTACCCCCTTTTACAACATTAACCATCTTCCACCTCATCCTCACCATCACGACGACGGGGATGCTCTGGATTTTGCCAGTACGATCGTCGATCTCACTCTTCGGTTGTAAAGAAGAACCAACAAAAGTTAACCGCCACATCAGCAAAAGTTAACAGAGACTAACGGCGAGTGACCAAACTTGAACTGTTAACCTAATCTAAGTGGCTATGGATGAAATAAAGTAATTATAGTGGCTAACGTGAACTTTACTAGTAATTCAAGTGACCAAACTTGCAATTTAGCCTCTTTCTTTTATATTATACATGAAAGGTGGGTACGCTTTATTGGCCTAACTTTGCTACTACTGTTTCATTTTTTGGCGTTTAGTGACGAGCGCTCTAAAACTTCTCCCGCAAAATGATTAGAGGAGCTTCACGTACACAGCTCCTCGCCGACAGGACATTCTTGCCCACCCTTATTCAAGGAGACGTTCTTCCACTGCACACGCCATTGCCCATGCCTCCTATGAACAACCGCTCACACACGCCACCAGCCATGCCACAACAACTATTCTATTGTGCTTTTGAGAAAAAGTGTCTTCTCTGGTTACCACATCTTCACCACAGTGAAAAAGAAAAGGTAAGAGAAAATCTATTTCTACCTCTCTCCCTCAGTCGACAGAGAAGAAAAGGGAAGAAGAGGTACCAGAATGCTCTCACTCCGAAACCACCATGAATGGTTGGCGACGGCAGAGCCTGCGTCGGAGGAGGGTTTTGGAGAAAGGCAACAGTGGTAGGAAAGGTGGAGTGACACATTGGCGACGTTTGATTGGGCAAAGTTGCTTCCACAACGAAAGGAGAAGCTCTGACTTCAATGGCGACATTCAATTCGTCCACACCAAAATCGGTAGCCTGAAAGTGAGATGCAGAAGAACAATGGCGGGAAAGGAGGGGCGTTACCTAGGAGGAAGAGATGGACCCATCAATGGCTGGTGAAGACAACGGTGATTCGTTTTTCTCTTCGTTGTTTTCTCCGTCTTTTTTAGTCATAGATTTGAAATAAATTATGTCCCAACCTAGAATTTTTGTTGGATCTGACAGTGCAGGTTATGATTTTTGAGATTTTGTTTTTGGTAGTTTCCTTAGAGAGGCGTTAATTGGCCAACGAATTGATGGCTCCATGAATGTTGACTGTGGCTCAGAAAGGGAAGCCGATTCTGAGACTTCGGCGGTTGGAAAGCTGGATTGGTCTCCAGGAAAAAAGGAAGAAGAAGCTCAACTTTTGGGATTAGGTTTGGATCGGCGAGGTAGATGAAAAGATAAGAAGGTGGTTTTGGGAACTTAGAACGGAAGGATCCAGATGGAGCCACGAACCAACTAAGAGAGATGGAACCACTTTGCACAAGTCATTTTGTCGTCCTAACCTCCTGCTGTGAACATACCTATTGAAGGAATAGTACAGGGCAAGAGGGTCGATTTTGCTTCTAGATACTCTGCTTGGGTCTCAAAGAGGCATATGGTCGGTCTCAAAGATTAATGTGAAGCCCCTCCTTCCGATTCTGATTTACGGGTAAGCATTTCATGTCCTTTTATTCTTTTCTCCATAGTTACTTTACCAATTTCGGATTTCTATACGTAGAAATTCTGAGTTTACCCAGACTTTGACCAGTTCCAGCCTGTGCGCTTGCTACTGTTGGTCGGATGTTGTAGTTTTTATTTTTTTAAGATCTATCAGCTGTGAAGTTTGGATTGTTAATACATAGGGTTGTATATATATATAATGTTTCTAGCTGATAGAATTTTATTAGTTGGCTTCTTTGTTGTCACACTACTTCAGGGGGTAGTTTAGGCTGGATTTGCACTTCTTATTTGCAGGTTTGGAAGGAATGGCCATCTAGGACATACTGCATACCAGAATTGTTTTGACCTTTTATGTCTCGCTTTTTCCATTTCATATGTGCCACTAGAGTTGTATATTTATGTTTGATTTCTATTTAATCATCATCTTTGTTCTGAAGTTCGTCTTCATTATGTCTCTTTTCTTTTGTTTACTGCAGGTACCATGTTCTGATTTCATGGCTGAAATAAGTACTTATTCTCGGTTGACAGTTCCCATAGTGGTGTATAATGCTTGAACTTGGACCTGAAATTACTCACAAAAGGAACTTTCTATGTCCATATGTATCTCGCAATCATCTGTTGTCAATCATCCTTCCTAACATTTTTATTTACACCGCAGCTATGTTCGCAGCAACTTCTCTAATCACATAAAACTGGTTTTGTTCATTCTTTGAATCGCAACTCAAAAGAAACTCGATTGAGATATATAGGGATATAGGATCGACGCGAGCAGGCATTTCATATTTTACGGTTCCCATTTTGGTTTGGTCCGATTTACTTCTGGGGTTTTCGTACCTTTCGCTGATGTTAACCTTGGGAATGCAGAGTAAACCCATTTGTAACTGTGGAATCAGTTCCTGAAATCTCGATGGTCATATTGATGCTTAAGTTTCAAACCTGCATTCTTTTCCCTCTTTGTAATCCAGGTTAACTATTGAGTTTTGTCTTGATTGTCCCGCGTATATGAATGTTTGGGAACATGACAAGGCTGTTTGCATTGTTTTGATCCATGGGGGAAGAAAAGTATTGCCTGGTTTTGTTACTTACAATGTCTTGATAAGTGGGTGTTGCAAGATGACAAAATTCAACCAAGCTATAGAGTTTTTTGGGAAAATGATGGATTCAAAATTGTGATGGAGAAAGGTGGCTTCACATATGTGATTTCTGCCTATATCAAGCAGGCAAGTCCTTGAATAATGGTACAGAGTCCATCCATTGTTTATTTCCCATTTGCTCATCTTAGTGCTTTGCCCTCTACTGTGAGTTTCTGTCAGTTCTTTATCATCATTTCTTGTTATGATGTTGAGTGGTGGGAAGGTGCTTTACTCACTTTGATGGGTGAGGAACATGGTTAAGGAGTTAGTTGCAGAGGCTTAGTCTTATATTCAACGAGGTCACTCCAATTCCTCTTAACGTTCATCCTTCATCATTGTGCTTCCCGTAGTGGTTTCCTCATGCTGCTCATGGCTTTTTTATGTATTGTGCTTTGTGCTTCTTGCTTTATAACTTCAGTGCACGCATTTGTTTCTAGAAGCAGCAACAATATGCAGCAACAACATGAATGAGTAGCAGTACCGACAACACTTGCTGGTATGGTCTTATGTGTTACTCCAGATCCACAAAATTATCTTCTTCCTGCTCATACTTTGTTCATTTGCGTATCTTATTCTCCGGTGTGCTTCCATAAATTAGTCGCAATTTTCCTTAGAATTGTTATGCACAATTTTGGTCTGGAATTTATATTAGCTGAAGTGAAGCTTTAGGCCCCTTCAAGTTGTTGGAGAATCAGAAAGTGCCATTATCAAAATAGATGTTTCAACTTTGCTTTCTTTATCATTCTAGAGGAAGGGTTTTAAATTCTTATGCTGTCAATTCTGGATTTAATTTTGCCTAATGTATAACTATTCCTGGCATCTGCAGTTTGCAGGTATTCTGTTTGAATGGGTTTCTAGGCAGGTTTCCCATGCCAAACTACAGATTACATTTGAGTTCATTTATACTTGGAGATGCTTATTAGACTCTTCTTCTGTTGAGGAGCTAGCTTTATGTTCTCTTATTTTTTTGGCAATAAACATGCTGATTTTTGTTACATCCCACCTTTTTGAGACATGTAAAAGACATTTCTACCCCGGGGTATATTTAAAAATTATTCATAAACACACTTAAAATAAATACACCAAACTTTAATAATTTGAAATCTCAATGACAAGCCCTAAACATGTGGGCAAAACTCCAAATCATATTCTTAAAAGAAACAAACGACCAGAATCTTCAGTTCTTAACTTTCAACCACAAAGTCCAAATAACTTAAAAGTTTTCCCCAAGGCTTACTCTGATGCTTGGTCCGCCATTACCTAACTCTTAGAATAGGCGATTCATAACATAGAAAATAACACATAACACCTCAAGTTCCCATGTTTAGGTTTCAAAAACCTATACTGGGCTATCACAACAAAAGCACATCAACAAGCTGAAAACATAACTTACTAAGCAAGATTGTTAACCTGTAAAGTAGTTTGCTACCAACTCAGGGTACTTTTCTCGCATACTTGCTTCAGTTTCCCATGTAGCACTCTCACTATCTTGATTTCTCCACACCACTTTCAACATTGGAATTTCCTTCCTACGAAGATTCTTAATCTGATAATCAACAATCTCAACTGGAACCTCTTCAAATGTCAAATCTGGACCCAACTCGATCTCCTCTGGTTGTATAACATGGGAAGGATCCACTTTGTACCTCTTCAGCATACTAACATGAAATACATTGTGGATTTGAGATAGTTCTGGAGGCAATGCCAGTTTATAAGCCACTGGTCCAATCTTCTCTGTGATTTCGTAGGGTCCAATATACCGAGGTGCAAGTTTCCCTTTCTTACCAAATCTCATTACGCCTTTCCAGGGTGACACTTTGAGAAATACTTTCTCACCAACTTCGAAATTAACTTCACGCCTATTCGTG